CCCCCCCTCAACTGAGACAGAAAGGCCCAATAAGATGTTATAATGTTTGTACGGATCATAAGTCTGTGACCACAGCAATTTTCTAAGACAAATCTTTTGATGGTAAAGAAATGGTAAAGAACGTGGTAGTTCCACGACTTGCCAACAGAGGGCAGAAATCAGGATTAAAAGCAGGGTTGGGAAAAAACAGATTTTTGAAAAATAGTATTTCTATCTTCTCATGTGTAATACATAATTTGGTAAACAAATTTTCCTTGAAATGTAGTAGTTACATACGGAAATAGCATTTTCAAATATATTTAACTACGTAATATTCATATGTAATTACTATTTCAAAAATGTTTATTTGCCATTCTGTATTACATGATTAGACAAAAGAAACTTGATTACATGAGAAAATATAATTTATAGTCCATTTATTATTTAAAAAATCTATTTTCCCCTGGCCTGATTAAAAGCATCCATAAAACAGGAAATCATAATTTTCATTTCATTATTTCAGGTCATTACTCCGGTACTGATAAAAAATTTAATAATGCATCGTGTACCGCGCTTCATTCGAATTATTTAAAACAGTAGTTCCGAAATTTTTTTTAACGATTATTTTAGAGTTTCCGGCTTTACAATTCGAAAATGGACGTAGAGATTAATTTAATATTTTGGAAACTGAGAAGAAATAATTAAGCAAAATTTCACAAATAATACTTACATAAAATTTATGTAAATTAAACCGACAACTACATTTCGATAACGACAGCAATTAGTGTTTATTATCGTTTGAACAATTAGCAAAACTTTTCCTCATATAAACGTCCTATTTGCTTGTTCGAAAGAATATTTTATTCGCCACTATTGATTGAAGCGTATCTCCTCCGTAATAATTACCATCTGGAATTAGCGCTAATTAGTTATAGAATAGTGACTATGACTAATAATTGTAAATACTGGAAGAAAGAGGCTGGCAAATACGATGCACCGCCAGCAAAACTTCGATACAAAGTATTCAATTTTCAATATTTCCTCGACTTCGGTTACGGGTGCTTTCATCATGAATAAAAACATAAGCCATTTTCTCGATGATTTAGTCTTATTGCATTTACAAGAGACACTTATGCATGCGCATGCGTTACATATTAATTTAATGAAAGCGATCCGAACGATTACGATCGCCGCAGCTCGGTAACTGCAGTGTAGTCGCGTGTTTACTTGACACTTTCGCAACAGTTCCCACGCTCTAGGAATATTTAAACATAGAATCGATTGCACGCGTAGTTGCAGTCGGAGAATGCGTTTCCTGTTGCGAGTAATTCATAAAATTACAGGGGGGCAAACGCGGCATCGTGCGGTCTGTAAGTCGAGCAAGAAACCGTGCGGCTTCCTTCACTGTTTCTTCCATCTGATCGATGGAATTGTGGCACGTGTTCGCACGTCCGACCTGTTTGTGCTGTTTGTGTTAACAATTTCATCGTTTCGATCAAATACACAATTGCTACAAAAAGTATTCGAGAAGCATTTAAAAACGGAACAACTTTCTTGAAATCGGACCGTCGACTTGAAACTTTTTCAGATGCTAAAGGAGTGAGTTTACGGTGCAACGTCGAAAAACGATTTTGCAAAAATTTCAATTGATCCGAGTAACAATAGAATAATACCTATATTGAAAATGTAAACGACGCGTTCTAAATAATCGTTAAAATTATATTGCAAATACAGTAATTTCTCCCTAATTCGCGCTCAGATTGCGCACAAAAATGGACAATTTGGGAAGAGGAGATGCGATTATTCCAGCCTAAAACGAGACGCAAGGTTCCTCTTTTCTTTTTTTTCGCAATCTGAGCGCGAATTAGGCGAGAAATTATTGTATTGAAACTGAAAGATGTAAGAATCGGCAGATTTCTTACAGTCAACGAGATCTATGAAATGCGTTGTTCAAATTTTTTGTTCCAGCCTCAGATAAAACAGGTTAAAAACACAATTTCTTCGCTTTTTCTTTTTGACATTCCTACCAATCGCAATTTTTGCGAAATTCTTCTTAGGCATTGCCTTGTAAACTGGGGTCTCTCTAGCATCTAATTAAAAATCGGGACGTTCGGTCCAATTTGGAAAAAGTTATTCCGTTTTTAAAGTAAACGAGTACTTTCTGGAATCGTACTTATTTAGAGATCGTAATAAGAATTTCTTTTAAGTACATTTTACGCAGTAAATACATTTTTACATAAATCCAGATTTGTATGAAATATTTTACGAAAACAAAAGTCACGAGAAAATGTTTCACATTTTAAGCACTATATCGTTGACTAGTACTGTATATTTTGAAAGAAATGCGATGATGTAACTAAATAATCGTACAATACAAAAACTGCTGCACTATTCATTTGTTAATAATAACTGCTGTCAGTATAAAATTCACGTGGATGTCAATGTTCTTGTCGAAGTTCAACTATGATTGATTAAAACTATTCAAATATTTTGCTATTCTATATTTAAACATTTGCAACCTATGCACAGGTTTTAGGAAATTTGAATAAAAATAAATCTGTATTAATGAACTCGATTCATTTAATTTAACAATATTCCTCGAACCAAAACTTCAAACGCACAACGTTCATTAATTACTTGAGACGCGTTTATTGTCTCTATTAAGTGAATTCTACTAATTTAATTGGGCATAATATTTATTACATTAATCATATTACCAAAATATTTATGGTTTATAGTATATTATAGTATATATACGTATATGTATACGGCCATTATAATATTATTATAGTATATTATATATAATATATTATAATTTTATTATTATATGGTTTATAATGATATATAAACCATAAATATTTATAAAGTACAGTAAAATGAACGCTCGTATCCACTGAAACGCAATAGCGTTTTATTTCATGTAAAATTATTAGAAATGATACTAATTACTATTTATATGTATAATAATAGATAAATACCTCTAAAGCATCCACCATAAGATTCTTCAACTCGTCGAGACACTTATTTATTCGCGCACGCCTTTTTCTTTCCAGGAGTGGTTTCGTTATCTAACATAAACAAAACGATTGGATCAGTTACGTATTACAGATGTAGTCGACTAAATTTAATTACATTTTTTGAATCCGCAGTCTACTCTGGTCACGTGCCGTGGCTCCCTCTGTATAATAAAGTTATCTTTCCATTCTCACCTGGTGTTTATTTCGAACGTAAATTATACGTACTTGTTATAGTCGAGACATTATTTTCGTGTCGTAGGTAGCATGCATAGAAATCGCCAAAAAAGAAAACAGCTTGTTAAACCAGAGACAAGGAGAAGAAAGCTAATTATCCGATATCGGAACTTCTCTTCACTCACCTTTTTATACTGATATGTCCGAGATACGGGGTGAGGATAATTGAATGACATCATTGTACCAGTTGGGAAGGTAGACGAAAACCAACGGAAGCAACTGTATTTCGGACCTAATTGTAAATACATTTTTGATTACTATGATACGTAAACCAAAAAGAGCGTAAATGTATGTACAATTTCGTGCAAATGAAACGTGTATTTCTCGTGTGTTTGTTCTTCCTATTTAAGTTTTCTACGTGTAATGTAAGGATGACGCGCATTGTTTTACCCCGTGCTGAATTAACTTCAAAATTTTGGTAAACAATTGTTTTAACATTTCTTTCTTTTTTTTTACCGATTCCGAGAACACATTTCAGATGGAGATTGTGTGAGCGTGTGGCAATGCAAATTATGATTATAATTATGAAATTATTTTTATTATTCAAGTTATGGAAAGAATAATAGTAGAATTAAATATTTGCTGTTCAAGGACAAAATAATTTTGTCATTATTAAAATTACATATTTAAATATTAGACTTTAGGAATTTTTAGGCATTTATGTGCTACATACAAGTCTATAAAATGCAAATTAAACGTGTATATTAATAAAGATTAACTATGCTTATTCTATGATTTCTGGATGGGATTTTCTAGTCAATGCAAGACAGTTTTTTTCTTCAGATTTTCATGAAATATTTAGTGAAAATACATATTTGTCTAAAAATCCGCAGTACATTAGTTACGCATGCTAATATATACTATATTATAACAAATCAATGCAATTAATATACAGGGTGGTCTACGCAATTGTTTCAGGACATAACTACGTTATCAATGCAAGCATCAGTGCATGTGCAATTAACAATTGTATGCACAGTTCGATTCCTCGGTTCATTCAACGTAAAAAATGATTAGGATGTCATGGTCAAAAAATGATTAGTTTTCGAGAATAAATTTTGGAGAATGCAGCAATAATTACAGAAAATTTAAACTTTAAATGTAGTTATAAAGACATTTTTTTGTCACGATAACACGATACATTTTCATTTAAAGAAGAGATACAATTGTTAATTGCACGTGCACTGATGCACGTTAAAAAGATGTAAGGACCTTCAGATGCAGTGCTTTTCGAGCCATTTATCTTCTTCTTTTGATATTTTTTCGTAAATGCATTAATAACGGAGTTATGATCTGAAACAGTTGCCTAGATCACCCTGTATAAAAATGAATTGTTATAAACACTACGTATTGCATTTTAGTGGCACATGTTCGGATATTAATACAGCAGGACTGTTAGTACACAACATTTTGTTACTAACAATAAGTTGGGTGTACATATAATTATGAAGTTTAGTGTGTTAAAGCTAAAAAAGTGAAAACATGTAATATTAAAAAAGAATGAAAGAAAGAAAAATTATGACTCCTCGATCTTATGAAACCCTGTCTAAAATAAAATCCACGTATTTTTATAAGTCAGTGGTCTTAAGAAATGAACGACGAAATTATCTTGAACCTTCTGAGATTTGTGACAACTAGACCGAGTAGATTTTATGCATTTGTGACAAAAATGAGTTGATCAGACATAAAAGCTCATTGCAAGAAGTAAGAAAAATCGCACACATATTTAAGGAATATATTAATTTCGATGTATACACGTACACGTGTACGTCGTATATACGTTATCATATATATATATATGTCTTCTTTGTTAAAAATTTATTAAAAATTTATATTATTATTGTACGAATTAAGAGTTTCGATAACTAAATACAGTAACATCACTTTTAATTCCCCGTATGAAATTTATCACGTACCATTTGAACGGAAATTGATGAGCTACAATTAATTGAAATAATCGTATGTTTTATTAAGATCTATACAAATTAATTATCTCTATAATAAATAGTTACTTTTTGTCATCTGTCTTGCTTACCCAACTTAATTTACTTCTTACCATCAAATTGTTAAAATGCCAATAAATCAATATCATGGAACTATAAACTGGTACATTTACGAATCTCTTTATCTAATACAAAAAAATCTGTCCATTCAGGCACAAAGTAATTCGCATAAATAATGTAGTAATTCAGGCATAAAGTAATGTTATTTCACAAATAACAAATAACGTTTGCATAGAATATATTCTATTTTGATAATTGTTGCAACACGCGATCTGAGCAAGAGAAATATACTCAATCGACACATAGTAAGACCACCGACCATAATTCATAAATTCACACATTTCCTAGATTATCCTTAAGAAAGTAGTTATTGTGCTTCTCACCTGTCACATTAACGCATTTTTGGAGCGGGAGATCGTCCAGAGCAATGTATAGAAACACATCGTCGCACGGTAATTAACATTCGAAATTAGAGGAACATCGTAGACGTCGTAGAATTCTTGACACGTAAACAGCGAACGTCAGTGATCGAACCATGGCAGTGCGGAGCAGGCTTCACTGACATTACACAAGCAAACGCACGCGTTGAAGTCTCTAGACAAACTGACTCTCCCTCCACTGCCATTCAACCAGCGGCTACCCTCACCAACTTCGAACCCTCTACCCGAACCTACTGCTCAAGCAGATCTCACTAAATGCTTTGAATGTGTTCCACCTATACACCTCGCGATCTCCAGTGTCTTCTCGCAGTGTCTGTTCACCGTGGAACTGCACGATTTTTCTTCGTAGCTATAATGATTGAAACGTATTCGTGGCACTAAATTTTCACCGGTTCTCGAAACTCATTTCTATCGTAATAATATATTATATTCGAATAAACGGAATTCCACTAGAATGTTCAGGACGTGAAATAGTTCAAATATTATCAACACAATGTTAAATTTTAACTTTTTAATTACAGTTTCATTATAATTGAATTACATTTGGATATTGTGGGAATTTTTGGGGTTGTTTTTCGGCATTTAACGTGACAACGATTTCGTAAAAGGAAAATTAAGCATGCCGATATTTATATTAATGCCTAATTGCTAATAACATGAGACTAGAACTTTATTTCCAACTACGAAAATGTTAGAATTGTTTAAGGTAATCTGAGCAGATGATTTATAAATGATAGAGATTAAGGTAGAGATCAAAACTGAAATTATAATTAGTAAATAATAATTGAACTAAATACAGCAGTTGCTAAATACATCAAACAGTTTTAAATTGTTTGATTGAATAATTGTTTAAATGCAGTAGAACCTCGATTATACGAATCTATGATATTTAAATTCTCTGTTATACGAATATACGTTTTACACAATATTTATTGCTATAGACTAGCTCCTCTATCATCTAAAAAAGAATTCAAGTTGCTGGGTCCAATTTCAAAGAAGTTATTCCGTTTTAAAAAATGGTTTCAATATTTTCGTGGCCGAGTTTACGTTGTGCCGATTATTTTCATCGATGTTTTGAATGTATTTCAAAATAAGGAATAAAATTTAAATTCACGATGAAGGTCTATAATTCGTAAAATGTGCAAGAAATTGTTTATAAAAAAAACACATGATTAAATTTTAATTTTTGGCTCCGAATAACGATTGCAATTAATTGATAGTTCTATTGGTGATAATCATTAATGACGAAGACAATTCCATTCTGGTTATTTGTAACAAATTTCTATGAAGAGGAATTATTTCAATTGTTCATAACAGTTATCAGTGAAGGAATTCTGCTTAGATCACTCGTAATAGTTATTACCTTGAAACTGTCAGTTATAATTTTTACTGATTTTTTGTATATCAGTTTTACCAAATTAATTTTGTAATCATAGCGAGGGTGGAAAAGTTAATTGTGAGAAAGTAATTAATTGTAGAAAATAATTTTAATTTACACAAGAACTATGTACGTCGAAGTTTGGTTAACGAATCTCAGACAAATTGGTAACGAAGACAATGTAGTTGCATGTATATTTTATAGATTATACGATAACATTATAATATACTATATATATATTATATATATATTATATTATATTATATTATATATACTATATAATATAATATACTTAAGCTAAAAATAGCGTTAAATTGGTAGCAATCGCATCAAATTAAAATTTTGGTAGGTAACCTTTGTGCTCTTCAGTTCAAATAGCGTAGCACCAAAATTTTAAAAGGCGTTTTTCGACCCTTTCAGTAAAAATAGGATTGACCTAAAATTTTTAAATGTGTCCCTCAACCTCTCTGATAAAATTAACGTTAAATTTAAATGTTATAATGAGAATTCGTTGATATTTGTGGTTAAATTCAAATTATGAAAGCTGTCTTGCGAGTCCTTTGGGAAAATAGCATTATATTAACATTGCGAAGGGGGTGACTTTGGATCCTTTTGGTAAAAGTAGTGCCAAATGAAAATTGTAGAAGATGTCTTTGGGTCCAGTAGGAAAAATAGCAAAATTCGTAAAAAGGAAAATCGAAGCGTAAACTATGCAGCGTTTGATATTCGGTGATCAACATTGCGCGAACGATTGCAGCGCGTCTAGAGCCGCGTTTCTAAAACATCACAATTACACTGCGTTAGCGAGGGACGAGTAACTCGATCAGCAGCATGTTTTCGAAGTAAGCAACGTATATTCGGAGTCATATTCATGGATATTCATTAACACACTCCGGATGGCTCATTTCTTGTTCTTGGTCGGCGTTAATAAAACTGGGTAGATCGACGTTGTACCTTCGGTACACGAAGGGCTAATGAATCGGAAAGTAGTGATAGCAGTATACTATGCATAAATATTCTTCTTAATATTATATCTGACATCGGATATGATGTTCATTAGAAATTAAATTTCGCATTCCAAGACCGATTGAAAGGACCTTACATAACCTGGTAAATACAGGGTGTTCCACAATTATTTTAACAGCCGAAAATGAGGGGTAGCAGAGATCATTTGAAGTAAATTTTTCCTTTGCGAAAATGCAATCTGCGGCTTTGTTTACGAGTTATATCAAGGTTATGTCAAGGTTATGTCAAGGTCATGTCAAGGTCAACATATGAAATTTTTAAGCAAGGTGTACAGTGAAGATTAACAAAGTACGTAAATGATATTTTAATTTAAATAATGTCCGAACATAGTTCAACGAATGATTCGCAATGCTAATTTAATAAATAATAATCGTGTTAAAGGACGTAAGTGATATGTTTGTTAGAGAAATATGATTAATATTATGAATAACCTTGACAAAACCTTGACAAAACCTTGATATGTCAAGGTTATGTCAAGGTCACTGTACACCTTCACTGTACACCTTGCTTAAAAATTTCATATGTTACACACAAGGTGTCATGCACACTAGAAAATTAAGACGGCCGTCACGGTTAAATTACTTACTATTTCGGGTCCGAAAAATTAGAAAATATTCTTCAGACGTTCTAAGGTAAAGGTGAACAGCGTTTTTCTTAAAAATATCACTGTTACGTAGTAAAAAAAATCCAGAAAGTTCTCGCTTCGTGATTTGTTCAATACTTCGAACGCGGCTCGAATCCGTCCATCTGTCGAAGCCTCGTTCTGCGGGCTCTCGAACTTCGCGCCGTCACCTCTCATTGGTCCGTGTTTTCCGTTAATAACTCGTAAACAAAGCCGCAGATTGCATTTTCGCAAAGGAAAAAGTTACTTCAAATGACCTCAGCTACCCCTCATTTTCGGCTGTTAAAATAATTGTGGAACACCCTGTATAC